GTGAAGGGAGTGCCAAGAAAGTACATTGCACTAATCAAGGCACTCTATTCAAACTCACGTAGTCGTGTAAGGGCTTATGGGGAATTGTCATCTGAATTGGTAACAACCAGTGGTGTCCGACAGGGATGTCCACTTTCCCCATTTCTGTTTAACTTCATCATAGATATGCTAATGGAAGTATCCTTAACTGAACGTAATGACTTAGGAATCGACTTGTTACCAGGGAATAATCTTATGGACTTAGAATATGCAGATGACATAGTCCTGTTAGGGGAGGATGCTGACAAAATGCAGAGTCTTCTGAACACCTTGAGCAGCAATCTTCGTATGTTTGGCATGCGATTCGCCCCTACAAAATGTAAGATGCTGCTACAGGACTGGACCACGTCAACCCTAACTTAGTGATAGGGAGTGAAGTGATAGAACATGTTGACCACTTCACCTATTTGGGAAGTTGTATTAGCACCAACGGACTGATTGGCGATGAAATCTCAGCACGGATCCGAAAAGCTCGAGCTGCTTTCGCTGACTTACACCATCTCTGGCGTAGGCGTGACATCCGGTTATCAACCAAGGGACGTGTGTACTGCTCATCAGTTCGCTCCGTCCTTCTCTATGGCTCTGAAACATGGCCAATACGCGTTGAAGACATGAAAAGGTTGACTGCTTTCGATCATAGATGTCTGCGATCTCTGTCTCACGTTAGGTGGTTTAATAAGGTAAGTAATGTTGACGTTAGGCGTAGAGTGTTGGGCAAAGAGGGAAAATCAATCGACGAGGCTATAAAGTTACATAGACTAAGATGGCTAGGTCACGTGCTGCGCATGCCTAACCACCGCCTCCCCCGACGGGCATTGCTAGCTGATATAGGTTCAGGTTGGAAAAGAGCCAGTGGTGGCCAAACAAAAACATGGCCTCATCAATCCATGAAATCCTTGACAGTTAAACTGAGTCAGGTAGGGAGATGCAGACTCCCGGGTTGGGGCCCTCGGGACTCTAGGAATCAATGGCTGGAGACAATAGGTGACATGGCTCAAAATCGTTGTCAATGGCCAGCGCAGATGTATTCAGTCTCTGTAATCTTTCATATTCCTTTCTACCATTACCCATTCTGTTTCACTCTTATACTTGTCAGACTGTATTGATTCTCTTCACTCATCTTCTTGTCTACCTCTGTGTGCTATTTGGAAGGTGGCAACTCGAACTGCTGCACTTCGGTGCCAAGTTCTATGTTGAATCCAGACAGACAGACAGAGTTGCCTATCCTCGAATCTTTCTCCATCTCTATCGCTTTTGTCACCCACCACTGTTCACGGTCCTTGCGGAGACTTTTCGTAAGTTTCCTTTTGTGCAGCTTTCGCTCCTCATTGAATTCGGGGCTCGCCGGAATAAGTCTCCTATCATCTATCAGTTCGGATAAGGCAGTCGAAACCCAATGGTTTTTACTCACCTTTGGATTTACCTTATTCACAGCTTTTACAGCTGTATCTATGGTTGACTGAATATTCTTCCAGGCTTCTTCAGGGTGAGCACAGCTGTCGAACTCAGATATGTGTTTAGCTAGTTCTTCCTTAAATACGGATTTAGTTTCCTGATCGAGCTGAGGACGTGATGGGTTTACCGCCAGCTGTTTCCTACGTCCGTTCCGTCGTAAGCACACCCGAGCGCGGACCAGCGCGTGGTCGGTATCTACGTGTTCCAGAAGGAGCGACAATCTCCTACCTACCCACGCCAACAATAGCTTATTGCTATGTGGTCTATTTGTGTACAGCGTTGGTTTGATGAAGGGGGTCTCCAAGTCAGACAGTGTCTCTCCTTGTGTTTAAAGTTACTGCTCACAAAAAACAAATGATTATCTAAACAGAACTGTAGGAGACGGTCACCGTTGTCGGTTCGCTGGCACGGAACTCCATAGGTGCCACCGACATCCTTCTCAGATTGCAACAAATTTCCTCCTTGAGCATTGAAGTCACCAGCTAGAACGACTACATCTGAGCGCTTAGCCATTCGCACCAAACTAGACAGCTTTTGGTAGAACTCATCCTTCGTTTCATCCGAGCTGCAGTCAGTGGGGGCGTAAGCGGAGATTACGAAAAGGCATCGGCGAGTAGTGTCCTTTCTCCTTTGTACTGACCCGTTCAGACGGACAGCACACATTTGGCTATCTACCGGGATCCAGTCAAGTAATGTCTTTTCTTCCCTAGTACTCAAAGCTATCCCTACACCAGCTAATCCTCGTGAACTAGCTGTTTCATCTTCTGACACCCTCAAGGTGAATTTTGCAGATTCATCCTGTTGGCCAGGTGGTGTTAGGTGAATAACCACACTTGGGTCTTGTATGTGTGTTTCTGAAACACAACATACATCAATGGCTCGGGATGCCAGAGTCTTAGCTAGTGATACTTGTTGTCCTATTCGGCAAAGTGTCCTAACATTAAATGCTCCTATATGAAATTGGTGGCGCGGCTTTAAGAGGCTGTCGGTGGTGGTTTATTGGCTTCCATCGTTTTTAGTGGACGCAGAGTGGAGAGGAAGTGGAGAGCTATCAAGTCGAGGAGTTGCATCAGTGGAAGGAAGGCAAGATGATAGAGATGAAGATGAAAACAAAGATGAGTGAGTAGTAGAGAGGTTTCGTGTGCATTTCGGATTGTGAGGGCGATTGTTACTTCCCGGCTGCCCACACCGTGGAAGTTGGTTGCGTGACCGCAGAGCCCAGGGGACAACTGCTTGAGGCCGGTCACACGCGGACTGTTTTTGTTTGTTCTTTGTTGTTTTTTGTGCCTCAGTAGCATATTTATCACTCCTGCCCTGTGACACGGCAGCAGGAAGCGCGGTCGTTGTTAATCCGGGCCACGGCCGATCCGGCATGAAATTTTGTGAGTTTGTATTTATCATGATGTTGGATTGGGTAGCTGCTTTTTGTCTAACCGCTATCCAGACAACCTGTCTGGCATGGTAGGACCTCAAGAGACATAAGTCTCAGCCAGTATAGCTTGAATAGATCATTGCGGTGTTCAAGCCCGACCACCACGTCAAGGTAGCAGCTTTCTCAATTTCACAATAGAACACGAAGAAAATGATACTATTAAATTCCTAGACGTTTTTCCAATGAAAAGGACTTATGGCACAATGGAAAGATTTATATTTATTCATGGGCAGGACAGCACATGCATTTCAAGAGCTTTGTTACAATCCAGTATAAAAAGAACAGTGTTCAAAAGAGCATGGAAAATTTGTTCTGACAGTAAAATTGAGCATGAGATAAAACCTCTGAGGGATATTTTATCTAAGAATGGATATCCTGAGTTCATCAATAAATAGTCTAAAGAAATTAGCCCCTGCAAAACTATCTAAACAGTTCCGAAGAAATCTGTCTATATCAGTTTGCCATTCAAAGGAGATAATGCACAGGAAGTAGTCAAACGAAGACTCGATAAAGCTATCAAGTACACTCATTTTGCAGCAAAACTCTTTATCCTTAACACCACTAAGCGAGTGACTCAACGATCTGGGAAATACCAGTCGCCAATGCCATATTAGTTTGTTTACCAGATGTATCACACAGTGAAACAGTATTATTTACTGGATGACGTTTCGAACAAAATTTATTGTTCATAATCATATCATATCATATGATCATGAACAATAAATTTTGTTCGAAACGTCATCCAGTAAACAATACTGTTTCACTGTGTGATACATCTGGTAAACAAACTAATATGGAATTACTTACTACCACAGTTCCCAAGTTTTACACATATATTAACCAGTCACCAATCCTTGACACTTCAAACTGCGTACATCAATTTGAGTGTTTGTGGAAGCAAATACATAGGTCGTACAGAAAGGCGATTGTCTACTGGCATGATGGAGCATTTGCCAAAATGGTGGAGTGCAAAGTGCTAAAAACCTCAATAACAAAACATTTTGTAAACTTGATATCGACGCTGTCAAGTCATTCACTGTTGTAAACAGACAAAGAAACAGGAAGATGCTTGCAGTTGCAGAGGCTTGTGCAATTCGAGTTTGTAAACCTGGTTTCTGTGTACAAAAGGAGATGGTCATCACTCTGAATCTACTATGGTAATACGTTTTACTTATTATTCCAACTGTAATTATCATTATTGATTCATTTAAAACTATCTTCTATCAGTGCCATTATCTTAACTCACTTCAACATTATTATTATTACTATTGCTATTGATACTACTTTGTTTGCAATTCTTGATAGATTCTCTAGCGCCTAATTGTTTATCTAAGTGATGTAATTGAAGCGTTATGCATTTCATCTCTCATAACCCCTCTTCCCTTATATATATGAACATGATCTGAAAAACATTTGCGCCTATCTTTCTGCATGACTAATTCAATGTAGTTTGTCTACTTATCAGCCTTATATCTCCTTATGTAATTCTAAAAATACATATATCCGTGTATGCAGAGTATTCAGCTGACGAGTTCTACCGAAATTTGCTGAATTCATTAAATACTGCTTTATTAACCTTTGTTGCTTGTTTTAAATCCGTGCATAGTTAAAACCAAAAGCAAGACTTCATAATATACCTACTCTTATTTCACCTGTAGAGAGAATAATGCAACATACACTACCTAGTAGTGGAACACATGTTTCTAAGTAACACACGGGCATTCGGAAAAAGTTTACCCATGTTTGAATACCATAGGAAAAGTTAATAAGGGAGATAACAACTAGGAAACATATCAATCCGTCCATGAGACACTTTCATTCAACTTATCTGAGTTACCCGACCAGTGAAAATTGGAGCGTAATGTAGATTTGAAGTGGGGGCACCACTGGGGATGAACACATTTTCAAAAAATAAGGCTTTTCCCATTAGACTGCCAGTGTTTGACGTGCGCTAACATTCGAGAAAGATGGCTACACTCTTCTAATTAAACGGAGTCTAAAATACATAAGATTTTAATGCACTTAACATAAATTCACGAAAAACCAAATGCGAACAACCTTGTCCTATACTTACGGCGTCATTGAAAACGGGAGTTCTTTCATAAGCTGCACCTGCAGGTGAAGTAGGATCTGGTTTTGTTGAAGTCAGGTTGTGTACATGGACTTACATGTGAAAGGATGGGGATGTTTTGTTGCATTTAACTCCGCCCACCCATCTTCTAGCAGTTTCCTGGCAAGAACTTCATCCTTAATGTCTTTATTTTCGTCGAAACGGGCTCTCGCCAGCACAGCATTGTAACGATATTTTAGGCTACAATGACCTATATGATAGAATATGAAGATTACATGTGGTTGTTTTTAGATTTCAGATCGTACAGAACTGCCTTGTACAGTTGGCACACTCTTTCCCCATGTGACAAAAGACGTCTTGTCAGATGGGGAGGTACTTTTGTCACAGACATTTGAGTGACGTCACATGCAAATACAGCGCGTAGTCTTCTCTTCTACACAGCTTTTCTTGATATTACATAGGTAAATTTTCACCCAGTCTTTGGTAGATTTAGATGATATTTTTAAAGCTCTCTTATTATTTTCCCTCTTTATATATTTAGAAGTGGGTTGGAGCAAAGGAAATTAAGCGAACGACAATAACTAAACAGATGAACTCATAATTAACGCTCATAATTTGAAAAAAATAGTAATCGATGATATTGGTATTAAATAGTTACACCGCGTGGCTATGTCTTACATGTTTTCAGAACGTCTCACAGTCCATCACTGAAGTCCAACCTATTCTCAAACCTTTATTCACTTTTAAACAGTTTACTGCTGGAAACCCATTTTTGACACATTATGGTAATTTTGGACATGCAATTCGGATGTCACGAGAAAGAGCACTTACAGTTTCCATGAACCTATACAAAACACGGCATACCTTCTCGTACTGACGTTTATGGAGATAATCAGAACATCTGTATGCATACTCATCGATGGCAGCCGTGTATCGCTATCCACACTGACATATGTTATTCATTCCTTTAAGCCTCTTACCTACAGGCACATCTGCTTAGTTACTTCAAGTCATCTCGGGTGTCACTCGCTTTGGTTGCTACACCTGACTTTTACGTAGAAACTGAATGAAGATCAATAAAGTCGAGACTGATGGAGTCTACAGCTGGCAATGCAGTATGTCTCAACTATATTCCTAATTTACGAGGTTAACAGTCATCTTAACTTAATCCAAGTATTCATCGTACAATCCAAAGCTTTCTTGTGATAGTGTGAAGGTCAGGGTTTTCCGTAATCTCACTCATAAAGACTGGGGAATCCAAGTGAAAATGAATTAGGACCCATTCAAGTTTTGCCTTCCATTGCTCGATTCTTCGTAGATAGTCATATTAAGTAAGCCTTGGGGAGTACTGGGCGTGAATGTTTCGGAATTTAAAGAGGATCTACGAGGTCAATGCACACTATATCTTAGCACAGACTTTAGGCAAGGATGCACGCTGAATATCAGAATATCACTTCACTATAACCAGTTTACATTTTAAGACGAAGGCCAAGTTTAGTTTTCGATCATGAATGAGATAAGCTAGGATTACAACGGTTGTTTGTAACCTTCTGAGACACCATAATGCACAATATGGTTAAGCTGCAGTATTTGGAACGAAAAATCTCGGACTTTCAAGATTCCTAGTCCGTTCTCAGTCTTATACGGACTGCCAACGCTTTTAATCTCCCTGTGTTTATACCTTTAGCTTATTGAAGAAATGAACGGCAGGCTATTGATGAAAGATGAAATAATCAATGTTCGTATGCTGACTTATTACTCTCGAAGGTAGACCTACTCAAGAAGGAAATGTTCTCGAAGTCGGTTAAGAGTATCTTATGAGTAAATACGCCATGTTTAATGACATCGTGAGGCTCGGGAAAACATTTGAAAAAATGAGCGGGCTAAGGTGTCTATGTCATAGCATACATACTCCGATGCTTCTGTAAATATGACAGCGATTCGTGAGAGAGGAGCTCAACTGAACTTTGAGATTTCAGTGGCTTCGTTTCTCTCGATAGTTAAGCATCTATCGTTTGATAATAAGGCCTTCGTGTGATAAACCGGTTAAAGAAATCTCATAAGTGGTTGCTTTTACTGAAACTATCACAGCCACCACACGGAAAACTTGTAGCGAAGACACACGCTCACAGGCTTCAACACAAAACCGAATAAATGCCGAGAATTTTTCATATCACGAGATAAATAGCGAGTAGACACAAGATCGCTCATAACCGGCTTGAGTGTGAATTCAAACAGAAACCAAGACAACCGCCCTTAAAAAACTCAATTGCTGTCTACGATTTCGGCTTGCAGACAGCTCTCACCATCATAAAATGTTTTAGGACCATACAGTACACCCTGTTTTAACAATTTCTGCCTGTTATGGCTAGTAGAACATGCCTTGTTTAATAGCTGCATTCAATCAAATACGCTTGGTGCTAGACTGTGTTAAGCAGCTCTGCTAGTTCATTCTACTTGAACTATCGCTAATTTAATGCTTCGTATTTCATGCTATGTTGTCAATGTAGTTGAAGATTGAACGATCAATTCATGGTTGTTTGCTCAAAACCAACTTCCCCAATTTTCGCGGAGGCATCAATACGACAGTCATCGTCTCATCGGTCGCTGTTCAGGAAGGAGTCAGCAGAAAACCGTCGGAAGTAATATTGTGATTTATTATTGTAATATTTGTTCATAGACCTTAGTTTTAAAGCTTAATTTTAAAGTTGGCTATATGTTGGTGTTACAATAAAGAATCCTCGAGTCGCCAATTGGTGTTTTGGTTTTTGCGTCTGTTATTACTAAGCGTTTCTGAGAAACTTCAAGGAACAGCGTGAGTCCCAGCGTAGCAAGAGCTGGGCACTAACGCGCGGCTGACATATGTCCTCACCAAGTAAGAGGGTTTAACTTTGTTCACCTTGCTGATTTGTACCATCACTCATCAGTGTCAGATGCAGTGTTTCGTATCACTACTCACCAGCTACCTAGTAAATGATTTTTAATATGCTTCTGTGGCGGTAAATAATTCCCCAAAATTTTTGACCACGGCCATCATCACTGAACATAGGATGCTGACCCTCACTGTTTTAGTCGACTTATTTAGCCGAAGGCTTCCTGTCAAGCATTCACGCCATTTGGTATTCCATCGTGTCACGTTCGTCCACGATCACTAGCCAGTTAAGTAATCTGCATGCAAATCGTTTTGGTCCCAAAAATATGTATCGTAATTTGGACAACCACTTCACCTGTTTTGTTCTGCATATGGTCCACGAGAAACGAATACTGTGGAAGTTGTTGGAATAAGATTTTGCGTTTGTTTTCTCCGTACAGTTCGTGAACGTCATTACTATTAGCCTCTAAACTGGTGAGCCCAACCGCGAACTTCATCCAAGATAAATCCGCAGATAATCCCGGTGAGTTCGTTCCATTTTGTATTTGTTCTTGTACCATATATTATTCGACATAATTTTCGTCATGAGTGATCTTAGTCCCAAGGTCATCCGTATCCGCTCAACTCCTAAAACCATTCAGCTCGTACCAAAATGCTGAAAATGCTGAAATGTGGTTTCTGCTAGCTGAAGCAGATTTTTGTGAGCATGGGATAACTGATCACCGTTCACAGTTGCTTGCAGTTATTCACGCCCTACCGCGGAAATTCAGCAAGTACGTAAAATCAAAGATGTCCAGTCGCGAGGTAAGTAACTCGTACGAGTTGCTCAAAGCATCCCTCCTCAGGAGAAACGTTCTCACGGACCGACAACGTCTAGATGAACTATTTCGTAACATCGAGTTAGGAGATCAGTCAGCCGTGAGCATGCTGATAAGAATGAGAGAGGTTATTGGCCGAAGTCATTTCAATGAAGGACTTTTCGGGGAACTCTTCTTATCCAAACTGCAACAGTCCGTGCAGACTATACTCGTGACACTTCGGGGTGTTGTAATAGATGACTTAGCTATTTCCGCAGATTAAATTCTGGAAATCCGTTATCATTATCTTTAGAATTTTTATTCTCATTTTCTACTTTGCACGGTTTTGACTTTAATCCCTCCTGTATAGGTGGATAAATCTCTGTACTGAACTTTATTTTAATTTCGAGTACATTAGATGCAGTATTGTGACAAATGCCGATAATTCCTCTCTGCGTAATCAGCACTGTTTTTGGAATAAAGCATATCATTATGATTGCCATCCGTACTTTACATTTACGGTCTTTCTTTGGTGTTAATTATGGCACCTACTTCTCGCAATAAATCAGCTCCCAAGACAGTCACCGCAACTGATGCACAATAATAAATGAAATAATCAATTCGCTGCCACCAGTGTACCCGTTGCAGTTGGACATGCCTGTGACTTTTAACAAGTGCTCTCTACTGTCTGGACCGCCGGTGAACTTGGTCTGACATTCTGACAAAGGTTAGCGTCTATGAGTGAGGCTTCCATCCCCGTGTCTATTGAATATGCAATATCTTGATCATTTACTCACAAACTTGAGGTGCATTGCACACTATGAATCAATCCTGTAACTTGTAGTCTTGTGGTTGCATAAGAATGAACTTTATATTGTCTGAAGCTTTCTTTTGCCCTCCTTCTGGGGAGTATTTCCAACAGCGTTCCATCTGGCTCCTCCATCCTTTACCCCATTGATTCAAGCTCGTCAACAGTGACGAGCCGCTGTCATTTCGCAGCTTCGTGGCTGAAAAATTCTGCTTTGCCTGTTGCCTTTCAGCCGCACTGCCGGACTTTACCGCCAATTATTTAGCCAATGCCTTCCAGGTCCCTTTGTCACATGACCGCTCCACACTATTATAAACTGTCTATCCCCTCAGCAGCGTCCTCAGCATGACTACCTTCTCATCCTTGATGCTCACCACGCCAGCGGCAACACAAAAATCCTGCGGGAGGTCCTGTATTCTCCTCCTTCGGAGGCAGGAGGTGATGTGACCTCCGATTCTTGGAAGCAGTGACACTAATATTAATGAGAGAAGACAATTTGATGTATACGTGTTGGGAAATTGTGTATGCCGTATATTAAAAACCATCATTTGCACAGATTTCCCATGTTGCACCACTTCTGCCATTCGTGATATGATTCTTTGTCTTCTTTCAAGGAGTCACCGTTTTTCTCCATCACTGGTTCATTTCCTCCCACGACGTCCAATCTATCTCCCCCTTTTGAAACTTTTTTGTCGATCAACGTCTCCTTATAAACTACTCGCGCCTCTTTCAGCAGCACCTTCCACATTATGACATGTTTATTGGTTACTTGCTTGCATCGCACTTATTTAATTTAGCTTTAACAAGATTTAAATGGTCACTCCAGACGTGAAAGCAGTTGTCTGGCCAACACCATGGAGATGTTGTATGGTCACAGAACACTGCGTATGGAGTTTGAGAAGTGGAAACAACGT